GCCTTGGATCTGTGGGGCTTTTATACCAACGAGGAGTTGGCACAGGGACCGCCCTACGATCTGGAGGTGACCAATGTGGATGATGAAATCGATCTATCGGAGATCAAGGGCAAACGTATGGTCATTAGTGCCGGTTATGACAACATTGAGAAGTGCAATCCCAATGCCTATGTCTGTCTGCTCAGTGAGGTGAAACAGGCAGAAACAGAACGCGGCCATCTGCCACAAAAGTGGCAGTTGGTATGGAACAATATGGTCGTGCCTCAAGAGGAGTCCATATCGCGCAAAACTTCAATGAGCAGCATGCTGGTCCAAACGCATCAGCACAAACGCTCCACTCTCGAAATTATAATGAAGGGCCGCTTGGCTGGGTATCAGGATAAGTTCTTTCATCCACATCGCTTTGAAAAGCATCCCTATACGACGCCCACCAACTGTAATCATTGCACTAAGCTGCTCTGGGGACCTGTTGGCTATCGCTGTATGGACTGTGGCAACTCCTATCATGAAAAGTGTACGGAGCTCTCCATGAAGAATTGTACCAAATACAAGGCCATAGATGGCGCCGTGGGACCGCCCAACGTCAACATATCCCAGGGTGACACCGCCAGCATTGCATCCAGTGCAGCGACCACCGCACGTACGTCTAGCCACCATTTCTATAACCAGTTCAGCAGCAACGTTGCCGAGAATCGTACCCACGAAGGGTGAGTAATTTTTACTGATCCAAGCTACATATAGATTTACTCATAATCTCATCCTATCCGGTAGACATCTCTACAAACGTGGCGCCTTGCTGAAGGGCTGGAAACAACGTTGGTTCGTTCTGGACTCAATTAAACATCAGCTACGCTATTATGATACATCCGATGATACTACGCCCAAGGGTATCATAGGTAAAATTGTATTTCTACATTGAAAAAATAATTGATTTCATAACACATAATCTTCATATTTCAGAGCTGGCCGAGGTGCAGTCTGTGACTGCTGCACAGCCCGCACAAATTGGCACAAAACGCGTCGATGAAAAGGGGTTCTTTGATGTAAGTTTTATTATACTTACAGCAAAGTGAATGTATAGAAATAGATTAATCAATGTCACCAAGTCGACAACTAGTTACTATATCCCGACGTCTAATAATAATAATATTTATGCTTATTGCAGCTTAAAACCTCGAAACGCACCTATAACTTCTATGCGATGAAGGCGAACTTGGCGCAGGAATGGACAGAAAAGCTGCAAGCTTGTTTACAGTAAAATCGGAATTCATTAGCATCAGAATCAGCAATAGCAGCAAAAGATATTGATCGTTATCCTGGCGACCTATTTAGTACTCGTACTCCCTACGGCTTCTACATAGGCTTATGTTCTATGCGTGTTCTGCTCCCCTTCCCTTCCCTTATATAAATTATGCTGAATGTTTTGTTTTGTTGTAGGACAATCCAATTAACCTTATTATTCTTACTGTATCCTATATATATATATATATATATATATATATTATTTTTTTTATATGTGATAGAGTATTTATTTGTCAACGCGTGTATTACTCTGGATCTATAGTAGCTCTGTGTGTATTATTTATAACCGAAATATTTTTACATGTATAAGTTGAATTAGTGTCAAACGTTGTTTATTAACACTCGCATAAAGCATAAATTACATGAATATTTAGCAACAATTAACGTAGGCGACAAAAGCTAAACAAATTATATAGTAAAATGGAAAAAGTAACTAAAATTAAAAAAAGAAAAGTACTCTAAATGTTCATATATAAAAAAGGATACATAATATCATGTGATTATACGTATAATACTGATAAGAATGAAATGGAAATGGAAATTGAAATGAAAATGGATAAGAAAGCCACGATAACAACTTTTTATATACATTTATATATACATATTTATATACATATAAATATCTATGTATTTGCTATATGTCTAAACTCTACATACATACATACTTATATAGTAAAAATACCAAAGATAATTCCACCTTTGTTGCGCAATTAAAATGCATTTCTTAATTTCTTCCTTTGAATTAAATTTAATTAATAAACGCCTTTCTTTATTTATACAATAAAATAATATACTATATATGTTATTCATATGTATATTATATAATTTACTTGCAAATTCGTTTGTGGCTTACAAACTATATACATTTTGAAACAAATGCGCTTTGTATTATTGTTATTATTATTCATTTAGTTTAACTTATAACTGCTCGACATGGCCTTATAGAAACGTCGTCCAGTAAACAATGTTGAGTATGAAGAACGAAAAGGGGAAGAAGAAGCGCGAGAATTTATCAATATAGATGGCGGTTGCATGGCCATGGCAGAAGGTATCATATTGTGGTTCTATTATGGACTCCCGATGATGATGCTGCAAGACACACTACACGGTTTCAGTTTCAGCCAATATGGGAAGTGATAGATCGATGTCCACACTCACCTTCAAGTCATCCAGATCTGTGATGTTCTCATCCGAATAGCCTTTCATGGCTTTGGTTGCCACCGGTCCCATATAATTGTTAACCACAGCAAACTCCATGAGCGATAGAAAGACGAACACAGAACAGGATGACATCCAGACATCAATTGCCTTAACATACGACACCGGCGGCAGCGATTGTTGGGATTGTGTGTTCTGTGTGGCCAGCGTCAGCAGCGAGGTAACGCCCAGCGTAACACGGGCCGGTATAGCCTCTGGCTTAATCCAAAACGATATCCACGACATGACCACAATCAGCGCCGAAGGTATATAGGTGTGAAACAGATGATAGCCCAGGCGCCGACGTAAATTGAAGACTATAGCCAAGCAGGTGAAATTGCCTGAATGAAAGGAAAACCTTAGATTAAGAAAGCTGTCAATCAGAATAATACGTGGACATACCCGTTGAGTACTCGATGGTGCAATCGGTTGTATAGTTGTTTGATATGTCCAATTGAGGCAGCTCGATCTCGGCATTAACCACCAGCGGATCGGTCATGTTCCAAATGAATACCAAATCCTCCACAGTGTGGGATACTGGAAATGGAATGTTATATATCAAAGATTTGCCTTCCTATAATTGACCTTCACTCACAACTCTCTATCATCATGGAACAGATTTGTGTATCGTGTGGATAGGATTCGAATTTCATGGCGCAGGACAGCACTAGCGTCAGCTTGGACATATAGAGCAGCGTCTTGTCGTGGTAGAGCCAAAGGTAATGATTTGGTATGCTCATCTCGTGGAATGTCACCTTTTTGGCATTCTTGAAGAAGCAATCGGGGCGCCAAATGCTGTGCAGCCAATCCACGTCCAAGATCCGATACTGTTCGCTCATGTTCTCCGGCAAACGCAGACGAGGATCGCGCCAGCTTTGTGCTAAAAATATGTCCGTCACATAGGTCTGTGTGAAATGCAACAAACAATTATAGAAAGCTATGCTCTAGGCTCCCGACTTCTCAAATATCATTACCATGGACTCCTCGTTGATCGAGTCCAGGGAGAGTACGGTGACATGGAAATAAACAACTGTCGGCTGGCCCAGCAGCTTGGGTGCACGATTCTTGTCATAGGTTTTAGATGGAATGGGTAATATATCTGGCAGCGATAGACTTGATTCATAATGCGATACCAATTCGGCACTCTCTGTATTGTTTCTGCACGTAAACAAATTGTAAGCAGCACAAAATTAATTTTTTTCAGGTTATGTTACTATTGTTATCATAGGTTTTGGATGTTATGGGTCATTAAACTAGCAGTGATTCGTGGTATGAAATCATATTGGCGGTCTCTATACTATACTATTATATGCTACTATACTATTCTTAGGCGATTAAGCCAAACTGAACAGCATACTAGATTATTTTTCTATTGAGGTTATGTTGCAGTCTCGTCTGATGCAATGCGTTTATTTTACTATTTGCCAGCTTGGCAAATGAATTGTGCTTAATTGTTATAAACTATTACCTGTAACCATGAACACAATCACAAAATTGAATTGATTTTTGTAGTATATGCATACAGATTGCAAATACAACCAGGAAATTATGTTGTTTCAATTGTCTAAATATGTTTGGCATTTGCATTTTGAACACACGCCGTTGGTTTCTTTTCGTTTTCTTTCTAATATAAATTATTTGTTAAGTAACGGTTATTTACTACATTTGTTTATATTGCATAGTTTTGCGCGTTTTCACGTGTTGTTTTTTGCGTTTATATTTCAGTTTCATAGCTTTACGGCACATTGTTCTGGTGTGGATGACATTTTTCGATTGAGGAACAGAACTGAAACATTTTTTAGCTTGATTGTCGCATTCGAATGATATTTATTGGATTATTTAATAAATGCAAGACGCTTCTTTTATCCGTTCTTTCCGTTTATACGGCAAAAAGGCAACCAAAAATAAATATAAAAGAGTTATATACACGTTTACCGTGCGCTACTCAAGGTGTGATAAATTTAATTTCTATGGTTTCATTCGTTTTCATTGTCATTCCTCTCTTTGCTACTGTACTTTTCAAAATTGACATGCCTAAGGTATGTGTAAAACAAAAACACAAAGGGAATGCATGTTTGAAAAAGCCGAAACACATATACCCCTCAATCGGAGCACTTGATGTAAATAGTATAGAAGAATAAATAAGCACACAAGCTCAGTTTTTACCCTCGCGACAAACGTTTCCACAAATTCGATATACCCGCTTTTAAAAAGAATATGCTTAATGCCTGACATATAATTGATATAATCTGCGTATGCGTATTTGCTAATACAGAAGAAGCACTAACGAAAATTGAACATGCTTATGGATGTGCTGCTTTAATGTAAATTCAAATATCGTTCGAAACTGCGCGCCAAAGATATACACCTGTTGTTAACAGTTGAGCGTTGCCAGATATACACACGACTACTCACAGCTGAGCGCAGGAGTTGCCCATAAGCTGGGCCTTTCAACTTGTTGGCAACGTTGACGTTTTTATGATAATTATTGATTTGTTTTACTTGTGTGTACTTGTTATTTTAAAATGTAACTATAAAACAGTGAAAACACAAATATATTATAACATTTAAGCTATTTAACTAATTAACAGTGCAGATCACAAGTTTAGCATGGAATTTTCGCAACAAATTGAAGGTTGGTTCGCAAAAACGGGCCGTTAAAATTTTGCGGGTGTTAAGTTGGGTCGCTATTGTTGGGCGTGCTAAAAAGGCGTTGAGGAGGCGGGGTCGTGGGGTCATCCGTGTACTCCTTTGTTGCACAGTGACGTGATGTGACTGCGGCGCAGTGTGCAATCGGTATTGGTATTGATTACTTGCCAGAAAACCAAGATACCGAAAAATAACACGAAACTAAAAGAGAAAACAACTAATACAATAATATATAAATATATAGGTGTATATATTTCAAAATTGTTTTTTTTTTTCTCTTATATTCATTGAAGTGCGATACGAATTGGCATAAAACCAATAGGGAAATTCTCGTTGAAAAATAATTGTTAAACAAAAAGGTGATATACAATTTAATCGGCAGAGACGCTGGTCGAGACATATGCATACGATGTCGTAATGGAGTCACCGCTATACCCCAAGGTCAACAACAATCTGAGTGCCAAGGTCTCGCCCGGCGGCGGCGGTGACAAGATGAGCTCGAGTATGAATACCAGTTGTAGCTTAGAGGAGGACACAACACCCAGTGATTCGGGTGTACAATTGCTGGATAGCGAGAATAGCGACGTTATGCTGGAATCTTTTTGCTCTCAGTCCGGGTTGGAGTTCGAGGAGCCAGTGAAGCCACAAATTTCAACTGTCACTCAACCTGTCGATGGCAATTCAAATGTTTCCACGGAAGAGAGTATGACAGCCAGCGCCTGTTCGACCTTTGACACCGCTGAAAAGATCGTGTATAGGCGCAAGGTGCACAAAGCTTCATCGACGCCCAAGGCGCCCAAGAAGCGCGTCTCATTTCACGAAGACATCTTAAAAAACACACGCACCGACAACATACACATAGAGCATGGCTTTATCACATACAAAAACGGACGCAAATTAGCCGTAGTGGGCAGAAATTCAGCAGGCGTAGCTGGTGCTGCTGGTCGCTATTCGTGGTGCGCAGAACGGGAGCGCGTGCAGGCTCCGACAGAGCTGAGCGCTGCTGGCCTGGATATAGGAGAACGGGAAGCCGGCAACGATGCTATGGGTCACAATCGTCGTTTGGTCTATCGCAATGCCTGTTCGGATGTTCTAGACTATGGCAACACGGATATCTATGATACTAATGAGCCAGTCGGGCTGCAATATGACAATTCCGGCGTGTTTGAGTATGGGCCAAGCGCGGCGGATACTAATCAACGTGATGATCGTTTGCTCTATCGCTGCGCCTGCAGCAGTTCCAATTCGAGCCTGGACTCGGAGGAACAGGACAAGAACTCTAACAGCACTTCTAGTGCCAATCGCAAACACTATGAACAGGCCAAGAGCAGCTCCTGCGATTGCATTGGCATGAGCAATGCCAACAATAACTTAATTGGTGAGTCTTCTCAAGCTTTTTCTCACTGTTATATAATTTCTTAAACTTGTTTTTCTTTTCGACCAAAACGCAGGCGACAATTGTTACTACTCAGAGCCGAATATTGAGGATGCCGGCAGTCCCAAACAGAAGTCCGTATGGAACAAGGAGAAGAAGCCCAAGTCGAGCTGCCTGAAGAAAACCAAACGTCACACAAATATTATCCACGAGCAGGATCTCAATGAGCGCGTCAAGAAGTTCAATGTGCACGACATAAAGCATCAGTTGCTCGACAATAGCAGCAAAATGATATTCGGCTCGCTGAAGAGTATCTTCACCATGCCGCTGCCCGAACGTGGTGTGCCCGAGGGCTCTGAGGACTTGCAGTCAGTGGTTGAATGCGTGCCAGAGCTGGAGCAAACGCCCGAGCACAAACCGAAGCCATATGCGCAATGCGTCTCGCCCGATTCACCGCCGGTCAAGGCCAAGCCCTTTCTCAGCAAGAGTCTGGATGGCAACAAACAGACGCAGTGCGTCAAGAAATTTGTGCACAATGTAGACGAACAGCTGCGTCGCAAAAACGATGAGCAAAACAGCTCGGCAGAGGCGTCACCCCTAGATCAGCCACATGTGCTGCGGCGCCAAGATGAGTTCGATAATGAACCAGTGGTCGCGGCACCAATTGTCACCAGCACACAAAGTGAATTCCGCAGCAAGTTTATCATCAACTGTGAAAGCACAGTCTTTGAACATACGGGCGTCTCCTACGAGACCAACAGCGAGCCGCAACAGCAGTCGCAGCTACAGTTATCCACTATGTCGGCAACGCAACACAGCAGCGTTGCCAGTCTATTGGAGCGGGACACACCCATTGCACAGCCTGCGAGTCAGCTGCGCAGTTCGTTTATGGATGCTCCGATAGCTAAGACCTTTAGCAACTTCTTTCGCAGTCTCAAAGAAAACTCCAGCAGCTCGGCAACAGCGGACAGGGAGCAGGATCAGAAGCTAAATGTCGATCAGCAGCAGCAACAACGTGCCGCCACAGATAGTTACTTTGGTAAGGAACATGGGGATTTGTAGACCATTCTATTTCACTGAAATCAAATCTCTTCTTGCATTTAGCTTCAAAAATATCCAAAACGCAACAGCAGTCGCATCAGCCCCTCACCACGAAGCTACCCACCACCCAATCCTCATCCACCATATCCGAGCTTAGCTCAATTAGCAACAACACCAACAGTAACTCCACATCGTGCACAAAGCCGCAAACTCCAAACAATGTACATGGCGTAATGCTGGGCAATGTGGAGCGCCAGTCGCGTCACTTGCCATCACCCTTAAAGAAGCGAAGCGGACAGCCCCCACGCTATGGTGAGTCGCTGCAGCAGCCGACGCACAGTCGCAGCCTGCACAGTCCGAGCAGCTATTTGAGCAGTGCAAGAGGTGGCGGGGCAGCGGGTGGGAGTGGACGTGACTCGAAGAACACCATACTCAGTGAGGAGTTCGATGATATACTGACCATAACTACCACTACGGACACGACCAATGACCGACCTTCCACGGAGAGCGATCTTGTTATTGTGGACTACAATGATGTGGACTATGCACAGCTATTGAAACCGCCTGTGCCGGCAGTCAAAACCTCATTGATCAATCGCTTTTTGCGTAATGTGACCCAGAAGAAAATACTGGAGTCATCCATACGAAAAAATGATTTCTTTGCGGACAAACTGCGCAGCGAGCATAAGCACCTTGGCTCCAATCTCTATGTGCGCGGCGTGCGACCTAAGAATTATGAACTAATTGACGACCTAAATGCCGAGATTGCCATGGAGATTGAAATGTCAGGAGCCAATTCGCCACGACGCGAACTGGCTGTGGGCATGGATCTAGATTTGCCGGGAGATGTCTCCCGTTTCGAACTGGGCATTGGCGAAATATCCATTGATATATTTAATGGCAAGCATTTGCCCATGCTGCGTGAGCCCAATGAACAGCTGTTGAAGGTAAGGGAAATCATATATATTCTCGATCGAGCTTTGTTTGCGAGATTGTAATTCATGTCGATCCGTCTCTCTACAGGTCTTCAAGCTGTACACTGGCTACAGTCGCGAGGGCTTCATGACCCCAGTCTTGGTGCTGTTAACGGATAAGACGCTTTATGTGACAGATCTAGTGCGAAATTGCTTGTGTGCAAAGTTTGTGCTGGCCTACAAGGATCTGGACGTCATATTGGTAAGCTGCAATACAGGGCAACTGTGGAATCTAATAAATTACCTAATTGTCTAATAAACTGCCTAATGCACAGATGGGTCCCTTCGGTAATACGGTGCTACTAAGCAACAGTATGCGGGATATGCAGCAGGTGCTGTTAGCGGGCGGACCCTATCCAGCCGATGCACTGGTGGCTAATCTGGAGCTGTGCGCACGTCGCAGCGGCTCAACGTTGCCCGCAGTGGGACAATTGACGCTGGAACATTTGGCGCCATTGCAGAATTTTGTGCGTGCAAACAGCTGTGTGGGCAAGGATGAGCGCTGGATGTTCTATGCAGTAGTAAATATGCCGGCAGGTGGTGCTCTGGGCATGGGCTTAGATGGTGAACAGGAGCCATTGGGACCGCACATCAAAGGCTTTCTCATGCATCGACGAGTGCGAGAGACGGCCACAGCGAACGCAGCGGCAAAGATAAGCTGGCAGCCGGGTTACTTTTTGTTAAAGTAAGCTATAACTATATAAATATAATTTTCATTATAACTAGTTCAATCTTCAATATGGCAGAGCTGGTGTGCTGTACATGTTTCATGATTCCACACAGAAGTTGCCCAGCTGGGCCATGGCTTTAGCCGAGTGCCAGGGCGCAAGGCGTGCTGTCAAATCCGCGCGTCCGCATTGCTTTGAGATTATGCTTAAAGGCGACCTCTTACAAATGGCTGCACCGGATGAGTATGTGGCCTCCGAGTGGCTGCAAGCGCTGCTGCAATCGGCAAGTGGTGTAAGTTATGAAAACCCGCAAACAACTAGCATAATTTGATGTTAATTTATATTTTACTGACAGCTCTTCGAGCTACAGGAACGGCACAAGGCTTTGGGCTGCACTTTGATCGTCACCCAGAATCATTTGATAACGCTACGCGAGGACTTTGTCGCGCCATTGCGACAGTTGAACATCCATTCTGAGGCATCGCCAGCTGCTGCGGAACAGAAGCAGCTGCTGCGCGACGATGAAATGTTATGCATTTTTGAAACTAGCAGCTTGGTGAGTAACCATCTGTGCTATGAAGTCAGCTCTTCTTAAGATATTATCTGTCTATCCTTAGTTGAGCTCCACCATGAGCACGCCGACTCGTGGCACACAACAGTCCTGCTCCTCGCTTAACTCTACGCCCACCAAGCAAACGCTGGATGCATCTAAAGCTGTACCAAAAGGACAATCGAAAAGCATGAGCAGTGTTTACGGCAAAAATTCGGGCTTAGAAATACTCACCTGTGCTGACATCAAGGCAATGACAGGCATTAAAATACCCTCGCATAGTGAGACCTGGTGGTGCATATTGGAGTTCTCGTGTCAGGAGGCGCCGCTGGAGTGTCTAGATGATTTGGTTATATTCTTTGCAAGCAGCATGGAAATGCAACGCTTCCTACGGCTGGTCGAGCAACTATGGCAGGCCAAAAATGTGCGTCCCTGACAATTAAAATAGTTTTAAATTATATACTAATCAGTTTGAATGTCATTGTAACAGAATGATCTCTTCCCTATAACTATATTGGACGATGAGGAAACGCTCGCTGAGCAGTGCACAATGTTATACTTGGACATAAATCGCGCTTGGGAGCCTCTATTATCGGCAGCACTGGGTTATCCGCTATAAATCGCGCAACTATACACATTTAATCTATCCATATAAAGTAATTTTGCTATATCTGCGCAAATAGAACTCAATGCTTAATAATTGTAATACTCTAGCATATTTGCTGAAAAAACAACAAACAAATATTAGCTATTATATATGCTCTATACTTACATATATCTCTCTTAATATTTATATATACGAAACGATATTCATATACCTTGTATTATGATTTGTAATGGGAACATTCGCTTAAACAATTTATTCATTTGCGCTGTTATATACATTTATATATACTATTTTGTGTGATATTAACTTTTAAGTTGCCAATTGACACATTTTTTTTGGGTTTACAAAACTTTACATTTTGTTAATTTTGTTTCTGTTATTTTTTATAGAAACACCGTGTAGAAATATGCACAAAAAATCCAAGGCTTTACAATGTGCAAACTATATTTTGATAACTAATCCTATATATAATTATACTCGACATATATATATATATATATATATATATATATATATATATATATATATATATATATATATATATATATATATATATATATATATATATATATATAATATAATATAATATAATATTTTGTAAACATTTGTTAGGGACAACCAAGACAGAAACCAAACCGTTAGCAAATCATTGATCATTTCAATATATTTATATATATACTCTAGCTAAAAGATATTATACGTAAAATATTCTATATATACTATATATACACTACACTATTTGTACGGCAATTGTATGTCAGGGCGTTATTTTTTGGTGCCTATTGAATGGAAGGGACATAAAATGACATTGAAAGTATTTACTTAGATACTGTAACCTCTCAATATACAAACATATATAAATCATAAATATGTATGCATTATATTATATGATGTTTTCATACGGCACGCACTCAAATGCCTTAAGTTTAATTTTTCTGTAGAGTAATTACCAAATAGTATGTCGTACCTATAATTTGCCAAATATGTTATACAATCGGACAATATATGATTATAAGCAAGCAAGCAGGTTCTTTAAAAATGTTTAAATGGAGATTTTGAACAATGATGTCCCCAACTCAAAAAATAATTTGCTTATACAGTTTTCAATTAGCAAGGCTTAAAGACCATACCTACCATAATATCTCAACCCAGAGAACTGTATGAAAACATCAGATAAAAGCTCATAATAATTAATAAAATTGATTAAACACAATGGTGAGGTGATATTTTTTAATTTTAACACTAAGCTCCCTGATTGATGACCTCCCCTGACATATTCAACAAGAGGAAAGTTTGCTGGGGCTCTCCTGCCATATTATCTGTGAAGGAGCAAAGATAATCATATTAACAGCTATTTAGAATGCAGAAAACTAATGTGGAAGTGGCAGACAAGCACATATATAAACATGTATATATGTATAATTATATGCCCATATGCACGTATATAATATACAGGCAGAATCGATGATGACATGGGCTGTGTCTGTGATTAATAGATGGAGGTCTCAACGAGCAGCATGAGAAGATGTTATGTACAAATGTACATCCATGCATGCGTAAAAACGTACTTGTATGTGAGTATAACTCTTCTACTGTGTCGTCAAATGTGTTATAATTATAATATAGCTAATAATTAAAGCACATAATAAAAACATAAAGCACATCTTCACATATATACTTATACAGGCATGCAGACACACACATTTGCCCATAGAGTAAATGCATAATTGGAAAATGTGCATGGAAATTAAAGATAAACACACATGTAACAATAAGAACTCTGAGAGAGATGCAGCCTAAACAAAGGCATTGCATTGAAAGAGACACCAATGACAACAACAACAAGAAAAAATAGAAGAGGGCAAGAGAAGCGCAAGAGATTGAGCGAATATGAGTTAAAAAGAACGCATGGAAAGTCAAAACTCCAACCCTCATAATAAGTCAACGAATAGAAGACCAGAGCAGGAGGAAAAAGAACAACAAATGAATACAAAAGAAGGAAAACGCTTCAGCGACTTTAGAGTCTTTGCGGCTATTTGTTGCGCTACAAACCTGTTTATTATGGAACAAGCTTGATGCCAACAAAAAAATCATAAGTTTATACAGCTTACTTCTATATGTTATCTGATTTTATGGTATCTATTTCTGATCTTATTTGAACCTTATGGTGCATATCTGCTGCGGTGTAGGGCATCGACACAATAATACAACACTTGCACGCCAGGCATAGCCACAGCCACAGGCACAAAAACAAATGCACGCGAGAGTGCTGCTGGTTGAGCGGCTGCTGCTTCTGCGAGCAGCGGCTACTGCTCTCTTATTAGAGCGTCCCGTCCTCGCACATACGAATACAGACAAGTGCTTATGCTGATGCTGCACTCACTTTCATTAACACAAGTCCCAAAGGCAACGCTAGCAGAATTAAATGCAGCGACTGCGACTGCGACGCTGCCGAGAATGTTGCTGTGCGTTTCTAGACATCCCAAAACATACATACACTAGCACATATACGTACGTATGCAGCTACGTTAATGATTACATATAGACGCGTGTATAAACAAACATTTATGCATACATATGTATATACAAGAACATAGTACATACATAAATGCACTGGCCATTCGTTGCGGCTGGGACGACCAGGCCACACAACCCCAGAAGTTGGAAAACCAAATAAAAATACGACTACAAGGCACGCTGTTTGTGAGTTTTCTGCTTAGCGATAGTCGATTTACGAATGTCCTGTAATTGTTGAATTTGTAAGACCCAACATTTTAAATTTGGTTCAATTAGTCTAATATCATGTGCTGGTCAATTACAAGTCAGCTTCACTATATTTAAGTTACATTAATTTAATTTACTTTAACGAACCGGAAATTTGATATATTATTTGATATGTTACTTGATATTTATCTTAATTTAGTTTTGTTTTAAGAATTTTATTGATATATTTTAAAACCATTAATTGCATAACATATATTTATTTTTTTCCTAATCAAATGAAGGGGATATTTGTTCTCATATAACCAGCCAAAAACGCATTGTAAAGAATGTACAAATAAACGCACATTTTCCAGAGAAGTAGAAAAACTTCCACCCTCAAAGCAGAGCACACAAGCACTGCACACACATGCACACACGAACTTATGTACGTATGTACACACATATTAGCGAACTAATACAAAAAAAGAGAGCTGCGCTGTCACTGTCATTTGTCCATTGCGTCGCTGTGCCGCTGGCGTCTGTGTTTCTGTTTCTCTGTCTCTGGCTCAGTCGCAGTCGCAGTCGCTGCCTGCGCCTGATTGCCGTTGCCTGCCCCAGTGTTTCCGCTTTCTTTCGTTGTAATGTTACTTTTAGTTTGATGTCGGAGCCTCGACGAGCCGGTTGTAAGCGTGACTTTCGTTTAATTCTACTTTATTATTGTTGTTGTTCGACGTCGACGTTGTCGTCGTCGCGCTCGACGCTACCTCGTGTGTGATTGTGTGTGTGTGTATGCGAGTCTACTGGTGTTGTGTGTTTTGTCTCTGTGTGTGTTTAGTTTAAGCGAAATTGAAAGTTGTACATTTTGCTACCCCCAAAAAGCAAAGCGCTGCATACAATCGCGCGCTCATACAAACGTGTGTGTACGCGAGTGAGTGTGTTCCTCGCCACGCCACACCAACCAAAAACCAACCCCCACCAACAAGAGTAGCAACAACAAAAACAACAACAACAACACCAACAGCAGCTACAACAACGAATCCAGCCAAGTAGCACCACCCACTGCTAAAAAGCGCCGCATAGTCATCGTCATCGTCATCGCCCATCGCCTGTTTCTGTTTCTCTAATTCGATCGTATTTCAGTTGCTCAGGCTCGACGCAACGTTTATGTTACAGTTACAGTTGTTGTTAGTGTTGGTTAGTGCAATTTGAAAACAACCAACAAAAAAGCGAAAGTGTTACACAAGCCCCAAAATAAAATAAAGGCCAGGGAGCAATCTCCACAAAAAAAAAACAAAAGGCAGCAATTACACACAGGCACCGCGGCTCCTGCCTGTGTGTATGTGTGTGCGTACGCGTGTGAGTCGCGGCCTGTGCGTGTATGAGTAAATCCCCGTTAACAACATAAAACTGTCATGATGAATTTCTCCGCGTTCGGCGGCCCTTTCTCTGGCATTCATCAGTTTGCTGCTAAATTTGATGCACAAACACCGGGCGCATTTGGTACGCCGCCGGTGAACGCTGCAGCCGCTGCAGCGGGTAGCGATAACCATGTTCAGCGCTATCAGACCAATGGCAATCATTTCAATCAGAATGTGCCCAACGGTAAGTGCATGCACTCATACTTATTGATATACATAACATATACATATATATTATACATATATATAAGACACATGCACATTTCTATATATACACATGCATTTGTGTGCATGTGTGTATACAACATAATCACTAAAAATTTATTTTATTTTTATCGATTTATTTTCGCCTGCTGCTACTGCTGACGCCAGCCGTGGCGTCGCTGGCGACGCGACCGACAGCGTCGTCGACGGCAGCAGTAGCAACAACAGCAACACAAGTAGCGGCAACGATTTGCTTTTCCCTATCCCATCCACTACAATTCGCCGTTTGAGGTCTTATGAACATGTGTAACTAGCACAACATTCATGTTTTGATTTTGAAGAAGAAGAGCACTGAGGATCAACTTGAAGAATATCAAAAGAAAAAATCCAACTACTGCGCATGTATAAGAGCATTAAATGTTTGCATCGGTTTTGGTTTCGCTGTACACAGCATACGACATGCCATTGGTTAGAGCGAGAGAGCGAGTAAACAACAAATCAGCCGCTTAGTGATTCGTTTGCTGTTCACAGAACTAGTTCGTATTGAAAGAAAATGCATTATAGCCATGTTGGCTTAAAAGAGAGTTGCCACCTGTCAAAAACGGGTTTTTACCTAAAAATACCTTTTAATATGTAATATTAGAACTTGAGATTTGTAGTAAAAACTAATTTATTTACATATTTTCTCAATAAACAATTAATCTAGGTTAATTATTAATTTGGTAATGTTATTCAAATGTTTAGATTGTTGTTTATTTAAAATTATATGTATATGTAAAAAATATATATATTTAAAATATA